ATGATCGCAAATTGCAAGCTATCAATTCTGGACCTGACCAAGTAAGGAAAGTTTATGGGTCAAAAGAAGATGATGAGTATTAATATTTGGATCCAATATATTTGAATGAATATTCTGCTGCAATTGCAGCAGAGTTTATATACATCTTTGTTACACACAGCATGCAATAAACAAAAGGACTGGAAGTGGCATCCATGTTGTCCTTGTTGCAGCAGTCAGAAACCACATGCAGTGGCCTTGCTGTCCATGATGCATGTGTCATTGCTTTCCAGATAATGGTGCATCTACACATGCTAACCTAGCTGTCAAGGAATGATAATATTCCTTCTGTCCAGTTTGTGATGTAGTGGAGCACCTTTAACACTCCTCCTCAAGTTGGAGTACCCAACTTGCCAAGATGTGAACGGAAGGTAGGTGCTCTCAGTGGCTTTGTAAACATGTCTGCTATTTGACGTCCCGTCTGCACATGAGAGGTCTTGATCTCTCCCCTCTGAATCCTTTCACGAACAGTATGACAATCCAGCTCTATGTGTTTGGTTCGTTCATGATACACAGGGTTCGCTGCAATATGTAGAGCAGCTTGATTGTCGCAAAACAACCTTGTTGGCTCAGGATGGTTTACACGTAAATCATTCAACAAATTCCTCAGCCAAGTAAGCTCACAAGTGGTTGCAGCCATGGAGCGATACTCGGCTTCTGCTGAAGATCTTGCCACCGTGACTTGCTTTTTACTTTTCCACGATACAAGTGATTTACCAAGGAAGATACAAAAACCTGTCACTGATCGACGTGTGATCGGACATCTAGCCCAATCCGCATCACAGTAGCCAATCAAATTAAGTTGGTTCTCCGTAGGAAATTGTAACCCTTGTCCTTGTGCTTCTTTCAGATATTGGAGGAGACGATGTGCTGCTTTAAGGTGATAGAGTGTGTTGTTTTCTTGCATGAACTGACTGAGATTATTCACTGCATACGTAATATCTGGCCTTGTAATGGTAAGGTATATTAATTTTCCAACCAAACGTCGATATCGAGTCGGGTCCTTGAGGGCATCACCACCTGTTGTCGTCAACACTAAATCTGGTTCCATAGGTACCTTGGCAGGTCTTACGCCAAGCAAGCCAGCTTCCTCCAATATGTCCAGAGTATACTTTCGTTGGCAAATGGAGATCCCAGCTTTGGACCGTGCAACTTCGACACCCAGAAAATATTTTAATGGTCTAAGGTCTTTAATTCGAAAACATCCACTAAGAAATTGCTTGAGTTGACTAATGGCTTCCTCATTATTTCCTGCAATGATCATGTCATCGACGTAGAGCAATACTACAGTAATGGAGTGTCCACAAACCTTAGTGAATAATGAGTAGTCCGCATGAGACTGTTGAAAGCCAATTTCTTGAATGGTTGATGAAAAACGTTGGAACCAGCTGCGAGATGCTTGCTTGAGTCCGTATAATGACTTGTGAAGTCGACAAACCATAGTCTCCCCTTGTCGACGATAACCAGCAGGTGGTAACATATAGACTTCCTCATGGAGTGCACCGTGAAGGAAAGCGTTTTGGACATCCATTTGGTGAAGAGACCAGCTGCGAACAGCAGCAATGGTCAAGAGACAGCGGACAGTAATGAGCTTAGCAACGGGGGCGAACGTCTCTTTGTAATCAATACATTCGCGCTGCGTGAACCCTTTGGCGACAAGGCGAGCCTTGTAGCGTTCGATGGTACCGTCGGAATGATACTTGATTTTGAAGACCCATTTACATCCAATAGGGCGTTGGTAGAGGGGTAAAGGAACCAAAGTCCAGGTGTGATTGGCTTCAAGCTCAGAATTCATAGCTGCAAGCCAGTGAAGGTCATGGCGTGCCTGCTCATAAGAGGCTGGTTCAACTAAGTGAGAGACATTGTGAACAAAAGAGCGATGAGCAGTAGAGAGACGAGCATAAGAAACATACCGGTGAAGAGGATATCGTGTGCCGGACATGGTGGAAGAGATGACGCTGGGCTGAAGCAAAGCAGCATGATGGGTTTGATAGTCACGAAGGTGGGCAGGTGGTTGTTTAATGCGTTCGGAGCGACGAAGGGGAATGAGGGGCAGCGAAGGAGACGATGGTGCAGGAGTTGGCGAGGTAGTAGTGGCTGGGGTTAGATGAGGTATGTCAGGAGGAAGGGAGTTAGTGAATGAGGCAGGTAGATCAATAGTGGGAAGGAGGTTTGAAAGTGCAGGAGTGGGGTCGTCATGGGGAACAGGTAAGACTGGGGTATTGTGGTCAGGTTCTGGTGGTAAGTTAGCAAGAGGGAAAAGATGTTCATGGAAGGTGACATCGCGAGAGGTAAAAATGCGCTTGCTATCAAGGTCATAAACGCAATAGCCCTTCTGACCAAGGGGATATCCCAGGAAAAGGCAGCGACGAGCACGAGCATCAAATTTGTGTGAGGGAGTAAGGTTGTTAGCATAGCATAAACACCCAAAAACTCGAGGATGAGTGTAGACAGGTAGTGTCCCATGCAAGAGTTTATAGGGAGATTGATGGGAAAGCAGGGGTGTTGGAAGGCGATTGATAAGGTAACAGGCAGTTTGTACACTCTCCCCCTAGAACTTTAAGGGTAGGTTAGCTTGAAAGCGTAAGGCTCGGGCAACATTTAAAAGGTGACGGTGTTTGCGTTCAACGACTCCGTTCTGTTGAGGGGTGTGGGCACAGGTGTGTTGAAAAAAGGTGCCATGAGTGTCTAAGAAGGATCGCAGAGATATGAATTCCCCCCCATTGTCTGCACGAAGGGTTTTAATGTCACGATTAAACTGTGTTTTCACCCAAGAAAAGAACGAGTGGATTATGGTTTGTGTGTCAGATTTAAATCGCATGAGATGAACCCATGTGAATCGAGTGAAGTCGTCTACAATGGTGAGGAAGTAACGTGCCCCAGAGGGTGTATGTGTTTGGTGCGGCCCCCAAATATCACAGTGGATCAAATCAAAAGGTGCAATTGATTTTATTGAACTGGAAATAAAAGATGAATGAGTTTGCTTTGCTAAAGGACAAATATCACAAACATGTGTAGAATCAAAGATGATTTCTGGAATGGTCTGGGATAAAGAGTGAAGAGGAGCCGAGGATGGGTGCCCAAGACGTTGGTGCCACAGTGTCGAGGTGTGGTTGACATGGTTGGCGAGATGAGGGTTTTGTGTTGGAGTGAGGTAGTAGAGTCCATTAAACTGCTTGCCTAGGCCAATCATCTTCTTCGTAGCCATGTCCTGCACAACACAAAAACCGGGGTAGAAAATCACAACACACTTCAATGCCCAAGTTAACTTACTCACAGACAATAGGTTCACACGAAATTGTGGTACATGCAAAACTCTGTCAAGGGTTATCTTGGGTGACAGTTTAATAGACCCAATGGATTCAATCGCAGCCTGTCCACCATTTGGTAACCCAACAAAATCATGTTGGGGTCTAGTGTGATTATGGATGGGTGATGAGTGAGAAATATGATCTATGACACCCACAACCCTAGTTCACGAAAGACTTTCAAATGCAGCTACTGTGACGGAGGACATCCAGTTGAACGTTGTTTTTTTCTTATTGGCTTCCCTGAAGGACACAAATGGCACGGAAAGAATGTGCAGCCCAGAAATAGGCGTACACCTCCAGCCTCCAACAATGTTGAGACACTACCATTGACAACTGCTCAGATTGACACAACCAAAGCATCCATCTCCAGCAATCAACCAACGTTCACAACCGAGGAATATCATCAACTCATGGCCCTTCTTCGCAATAAGAATGGTACCAATCTGCCACTTGTACATGCAACAGGTATCTATACGCCCAACTGCAACTTTACACAACATTCTCCGCATTCAACATTGTATTGGATCGTGGATAGCGGGGGTGCCATAGCCTCCTTTTGGTGCTGTTGAACGACTGGTTTGAATTGCATGGGCAGTGGGTTCACGACGATTCACCACATCTAATTGGCGTTCGTGTTGGAGGACCAATCCATGGACTCGTCGTGTATCCGGGAGTGGGCTCATCATCAATATAGAGCCTCGTATGGTGGAGTAGTTCTCGTTCAGTCCCATTAAGAACTGCATGACTCTCTCTTTCTCTTCCCTGTCTGCATGTGCCTTGGATCCTTCGCATTCACAAGCAATGGGCTCATGGTATGATGCTAATTCATCCCAAAGAGCTTTTAATTTTGTGTAATAATCTGAAACAGATAGCTGTCCTTGTCGGTGTTCGACAATCTCTTGTCGAATTTGATAGATCCTGGAATCGTTGCCTTGCGAGAATTGATCCTCAAGGTCCCTCCATGCTGCTGTCGCAGTTTTGCAGTAGAGTGTACTGTGAGCAATGTTGCCTTGCCAGATTGCCAAATCCAAGATAAGACCATGTCGTTGCTCTCTGAATTGAATTTTATCATCAGGGTTGCAGGGTTTTGATTGATCCATCAGTGTTTTTGGCGCTGAGAGCAATTCGCATAGAAGCGGCTTCCATTGTCCATAGTTGTGTGTCCATCGAGAAGTGTTGGTGAGACTAAAACAAGACTTGGTGAGTCTGAATGATGCAGAATGAGAGGATCAGATACATGAGGTATCATTCTCGTCGCCCATGGTGGTTGGGTTTGTGTTTGAAGAGAACTGGTTGTTTGTGGCGGAAGCAAATGAGCCTTCCAGAGTCACCAAGATCGGTGCTCTGATACCATATTAATATTTGGATCCAATATATTTGAATGAATATTCTGCTGCAATTGCAGCAGAGTTTATATACATCTTTGTTACAGGACTGGACATCAATGTGTCCCTGTTGCAGCAGTCAGAAACCACATGCAGTGGCCTTGCTGTCCATGATGCATGTGTCCTTGCTTTCCAGATAATGGTGCATCTACACATGCTAACCTAGCTGTCAAGGAATGATAATATTCCTTCTGTCCAGTTTGTGATGTAGTGGAGCACCTTTAACAATGAGGATGCTTTAAGGTCACTTTCTGCTATAGAAAAAATCTAAGGAATCATTTGCTACCATGATAGTGCAGACGCTTAGAAATTCACCAGATGTAAACTTCCTATCACATTGTATTACCGGAACCATGTCTAGTTCTTTGTAATTACGATTCTGATACTAGCTATTTCGGTTTTCTTTTTTTAACTACAAGATTCATCAATTATAAAACAGCAGTTGCTTAATGATTTTCTGCCTGATGATGCATGTCCACTGGGAGCTCCGTTGAACATGGAAACACCCAGAGAAATCGACCAAGTTGGCATACAAGATGATGGAGAACCTGATAAGGTAATTTACTCGAACAACTTCCTTTTTTTGTATAATATCCGAGCAATTAAGTGTACAGAATGATTTTATCGTGCAGGCGGAGCCCCCATTATTCACAGTTGGGGATGATGCCTTACCCAATGCATCTGAAAATCAAACCGACCCTGGCACAAAAGTTGCAGTGGAATGTTTAAGCCTAATAAGCGTTGATCAGCTTTTAGATTCGGTTAGTGAGGCCGCTCACACTGTTGCTGGTTTGTGGCCCTTGCAAAAGTCAGACAGAAAATATGTAAATATATGGATATTACATCAAGTTGAACATTATGCTGAGCAAGAGAGTGATTCGTGTGCAGGTTTTGGAGACAACACATCAAGTTGGAAGATTATCAGTCTCAGCTGCTACAAACATGCCTTACATGGAAATGGCTGGCCAGTGTGAGGCCATTCAAATGGGGAAGCAGCAAAAGTTGTCAACGTTTATAGTTGAGAGGTGGTGGGCGGTTGGTGTGTGCTCTACTAGTTTAGAATTAAATCAAGAAATATACCAATCCCATATGAACAAAGGAGGAGTCCTTGTCTTTTAAATTCCTTTGTGACATAATAACCTTATAGATGTCAATTTTTCTAGGGGTACCTCTCAACTGTTTATCATTATAAATGGAAGTGGAATTTATGTTTTTGCACCGCTTGGAAATGAAAGTAATAATCGTACCTTTGAAAGGAAATTAGGCCAAGTGAATGATTTATGTGGAATTTTGTGTTGTGGGCCAACCACAAAGAACAAGGAATATGATATGTGAATATTCTATTCCACCTCGAGAAAAAAGAAAGAAAAAAAAAAAGAAAAAAAAAAAACTCTTTTCTACTTGACTCTACCGCTTTTTAGTTTCAGCCACTCAAGTTTTTGATTTTTTTTAATTTATGAATTATTGTAAATATATCGATGACAAATATAAGAACTCAGATACAATGAGAATACATTTGCTTCTGGAAATTTTCTGTTCTTAACATGTATTTTTTCGCTTAATATGGTTCATTTATTGATACAAATGTTATGAACTACATAGTATTTCCTTTTTCTTTGTGGTTGGCCTACAACAAAAAAATTCCGCGTGAATTAGGCATTCGGCCTAATTTCCCTTCAAGGGTTTGAGTATTACTTCCAATAGGTGCCAAAATATAAATTCCACATATAATGACAAAAAGTTGAGAGGTACCCCTTAGAAAAAGTCCAATGACATCTATAAGCGTATAATGTCACATATAAACTTAAAAGACAAAGACTCTATCTATAAGTTGGTAGGATATGTTAAATTTTACCCTAATAAGATAATATCTACTAAAGAAAATATTTCAAGATATCTCTAGATACATTAGGATTTACAGAATCACATTCATATTTTAAATATGGTTGCAGCATAGATGAGTTTTTATTTTTTATTATATATATAACGATATATATACACCAAAGGGTGCAAGAATAAATTGATTTCGAACTCCTCATCCATAAGATTCGAATCTAAAATCTTTCACTCATAAGTAAAGAAAAATATCACTTGATCGTAATATTATATAATTTATTTTGATTTTCTTTTATATCAATTTTAATTATTGTTACACCCTTAACATATTAGGTTTTTTTTTTTTCATTTATTGTAAAGTTCTAATAGGGATATCTATTTATATATTTTAAAAAAAATTATTATAAATGAACCGATGAGAAATATAAAATTTAGATTCAACGAGGTAGAGGATCCTCTTCGGATCGACTTTGTGGGAATCTTAGGGATCCCCACATCATAGCCGTTCAATGTACATCGTACGGTCAGTTTTTGTTAGATACTATTTTTGTTTAATTTTAAATAAAAAAAATCAAATAATTTATGACCGCACGATTCATAATGAATAGCTAAGATGTGAGGATCCTTAAGATTCCCACAATTTGAATCCAGATGGGATCCAAATCCCTTTTTTTCTGGAAATTTTTTGCTCTTAGCATGTATTTTTGCTTAATATAGTTCATTTTATCTATTGCTACAGATGTTTGTGAACAGATTACTTGTCATGTTTCAGCAGATACCCCTATTAACACTTTACATTAAATGAAAAAAAAAACCTAATCAGTTAGGGGTGCAACAATAATTTAATTGATATATAAAATAAAACTAAAATATGTCACTTGATACCAGTTGTGCACTGGGTACGACCTTTCCTCTATTTAACTCCGCCTATGTAATTTTACATTGCCGGTCCCAAACCCGGATAAAGGAGGAGGGGGAGGGCGTCAGGTAGTCGACAGCCGGCACTCCATGATCACGTCGAATCCTTATGAAAATGAATCCAGAACAAAATCGCGCTAAAGCTAGGGCGTCACCCGTAAGTGGCGCGCTGTGTGGCCCGAGCACAGTGATAAGTGAGCAAGGGTCGCTGTATCTCCATCGGCACCCGGATGCAGTGTTAAATGAGCAAGGGGGCCGTAGAAACTTCTTTTCGAACGACTCCACTCAAAGTTGTTTGGGAGCATATGCTCCTATCAACTTTACACGGGGGACACACAAAAGAAGTACTTTGATCCTATTAGACGGGGGAGGGTGAATAAAGCTAGGACAGAAGGGTAGAGTTCAAGAGAGCAAAATGCGTTTAGGAACGTGGAATATAGGAACCTTAACGGGAAAATCTATGGAAGTAGTGGAAGTTATGGTGAGGAGAAGGATAAATATTATGTGCCTACAAGAAACTAAGTGGGTTGGTAGTAAGGCAAAGGATCTAGAAAACTCAGGGTTTAAACTTTGGTATTCGGGCACAAATAGAACGAGAAACGGTGTTGGCATCATCGTGGACAAGACCTTGACACAAGATGTTGTAGATGTCAAGAGGGTAGGAGATAGAATCATGGCAATCAAGATTGTAATAGGACAAGAACTTATCAATGTGATTAGTGCGTACGCACCTCAAGTAGGGTTGGATACGAGTTCGAAGGAGAAATTTTGGGAAGACCTTGGAGACTTGGTGCAAGGAATTGCTCAGACGGAGAAGTTATTTATAGGAGGAGATTTAAATGGACACGTGGGCAGGGAGACAGGCAACTATGGAGGTTTTCATGGTGGCCATGGTTTTGGGGAGAGAAACGAGGATGGGGAAGCTATCTTGGATTTTGCAATGGCATATGATCTCTTCTTAGCCAACACCTTCTTTAAGAAGAGAGAAGAACATGTGATCACCTACAAGAGTGGGTCGTCAAAAACACAAATAGATTTTCTTCTAATGAGGAAAGGGGATCGTATAACTTGTAAGGATTGCAAAGTTATACCAGGAGAGAGCGTGGCTAATCAACATCGCTTGTTGGTGATGGATGTACATATCAAAAGAGTGAGACAAAAGAACAAGACTTGGAAGTGCCCAAGGACTAGATGGTGGAATCTAAAAGAAGAAAAACAAGCCATTTTCAAAGAGAAGGTAATCACCCAATGTGTGTGGGATAGAGAGGGGGAAGCTAGCCAAATGTGGGATTCCATGGCTAGTTGTATCCGAAAAGTAGCAAAAGAGGTATTAGGAGAGTCCAAGGGCTTTGCCCCACACCAAAAGGAATCTTGGTGGTGGAATGAGGAGGTACAAACAAAGGTGAAGGCTAAGAAGGAATGTTGTAAAGCCTTATACAAGGAGAGGACCGATGAAAATGGTGAAAGGTATAGAAAAGCGAAGCAAGAGGCGAAGAAAGCTGTCAGAGAAGCTAAGTTAGCGGCTTACGACGATATGTATAAACGACTAGATACCAAAGAAGGAGAGTTGGATATCTATAAACTAGCTAGAGCAAGGGAAAAGAAGACAAGGGACCTAAACCAAGTGAGGTGCATCAAGGATGAGGATGGAAAGGTTCTTGCTACAGAGAACGCGGTTAAAGACAGATGGAGAGGTTATTTTCATAATCTTTTCAATGAAGGACATGAAATGAGTGCTTCTTTAGGGGAGTTGAGTAACTCAGAAGAGTGTAGAAACTACTCTTTTTATCGTCGAATCCGGAAGGAAGAAGTGGTTGTAGCTTTGAAGAAGATGAAGCATAGAAAAGCAATAGGCCCAGACGATATACCAATCGAAGTGTGGAAAGTTTTGGGAGAGACAGGTATAACATGGCTCACTGACCTTTTCAATAGGATTTTGAAAACGAAGAAGATGCCAAATGAGTGGCGAACGAGCACTTTGGTGCCTATCTACAAGAATAAGGGCGACGTACAAAATTGCATGAACTATAGGGGTATTAAGCTAATGAGTCATACAATGAAGCTCTGGGAGAGAGTCATTGAGCATAGATTGAGGCAAGAGACACGGGTTTCGGACAACCAATTCGGGTTCATGCCAGGGCGCTCAACCATGGAGGCAATCTATCTCTTACGAAGATTGATGGAAAGATATAGAGATGGGAAAAAGGATTTACACATGGTCTTTATAGATTTGGAAAAAGCGTATGATAGGGTCCCAAGAGACATTCTTTGGAGGATTTTAGAGAAGAAAGGAGTACGAGTAGCATATATCCAAGCTATAAAGGATATGTATGAAGGAGCAAAGACTGCCGTAAGAACTCATGAAGGACAAACCGAAAGCTTTCCCATAACTGTAGGATTACATCAAGGCTCATCCTTAAGTCCTTACCTTTTTGCGTTGGTAATGGATGAGTTAACAGGACATATTCAAGATGATATTCCTTGGTGTATGCTTTTCGCAGACGATATAGTGTTGATAGATGAAACTCAGGAAGGGGTAAATGCAAAGCTTAACCTTTGGAGAGAAGTGTTGGAATCTAAAGGTCTTCGCCTAAGCCGATCAAAGACAGAATATATGGAGTGCAAGTTCAGTGCAAATGGAGGCCAAAACGAGTTAGGGGTGAGGATCGGAGATCAAGAAATACCAAAGAGCGACCGTTTTCGTTACCTAGGATCTATCTTGCAAAAGAACGGAGAATTAGATGGAGATCTCAACCATAGAATACAAGCTGGATGGATGAAGTGGAAGAGTGCATCCGGCGTGTTGTGTGACCGCCGTATGCCACTGAAGCTCAAGGGAAAATTTTATAGGACGGCAATAAGGCCGGCGATGCTGTATGGCACAGAATGTTGGGCGGTGAAACATCAACACGTACACAAAAATGGGTGTAGCGGAGATGAGGATGCTTCGTTGGATGTGTGGGCACACGAGAAAGGATAAGATTAGGAATGAGGATATCCGGGGTAAAGTAGGAGTAGCCGAAATTGAAGGAAAGATGAGAGAAAATCGGTTACGGTGGTTTGGACATGTGCAAAGAAGGCCTACTGACGCTCCGATTAGAAGATGCGACTATGGGACAGAGGTTCAGGGCCGAAGGGGTAGAGGAAGACCTAGGAAAACTTTGGAAGAGACTCTAAGAAAAGACTTAGAGTACTTGGATCTAACGAAGGACATGACACAGGACCGAGCACAATGGCGTTCTAAGATTCATATAGCCGATCCCACTCAGTGACTTGGATTTTCCAAGTCTCCAACCGAGAAGTTTTCCTCACTCGGAAAATTAAGGGAACACTACCCCAACCTACATGCTCCACTCAGAAAGCTTCAACATACAAGCTTCAACAAAAGAAAATTCAAAGAACTTAGCGAAGAAGGCTTTGGTGTATTTAACACAATACGTTGAAATGAAGGAAAGCTTATTTATTGATATCCCCGATA